ACGCTCCAGGAGGACGCATTCCCGTCTTTGAACGATCTCTCCGTCAGCGTGCACCTCCCGCACATGGTTCGCTTCCTGAATGCAGAATTCTCCCCCGCTCATCTGACGTGTCTATACGTCCATCTACTCTATATTGTCCCTCCGTACCAAGTCCAGGAGTTTCTTGAGGCGACCACACAGAATTGTCAAGAGCTCACTCGGCTCTACCTCGATTTCGCTGGCGACCCAAGTCCTCTCCTATTCCGGACGTCCCTTCCGGATGAGGACCGCATCAGCTGGAACACGCTCCGGCCCCTCCTCAAGCTATCGAAGCTGGTCGAGTTCGAGCTGCACTGGGACTCGCCTGTCGCGATCACGCAAGACGACCTCGAGGAGCTAGCGTCGAGCCTGCCCGCTCTGGAGCTCCTAGAGCTCAACTCCGAACCACTCCCCACCCCGCAACTGCCCGCCCTCACCCTTCGCGCACTCGTCCCGTTTGCGCGCCACTGCCCGAAGATGCGCGAGCTAAACCTCTACGTCAACGCGTCATCCGCAGACCTCGAAGACGCGTCGCGCGAGCTGCACGCGTCCCTGTCCCCCATCCAGTTCCGCAGCCTCTCCAAGCTCTCGTTCGGCCTCTCGCACATCGCGTCCGCCGAACCTGTCGCGCTCTTCCTCAGCGAGCGGTGCCCGCTCGGATGCGTGGTGCGCGCGGGCGTGAGCTGGCCGAACGGGTTCAGCGCGATGGAGGCGCAGACGGCCGAGGACGCGGTGGTGCTCGGGGAGATGTGGGGCCAGGCGAGTGAGTGGTATGCGCGCTGGACGGAGGTGGACAATATGCTGCCGTTGCTGACGCGGGCGCAGATGGAGGAGCGGGCGCGCAGACGGAAGCTGGAGCGCGAGAGAAACAGGTCAAGTCGAACGGCAAGGAGGGCAAGAGGATGGGTGAGGGCGGGGACGGGAACGGGGACGGGGAGAGCCACACGCAGGGGCCCATTGCCGCTGCCACTGCCCCCGACTTCTGCCACCCGGTGCGCGAACTCTTGGACGGGCGCGCGGTGTTGATCCGACACGCATGTGCGTACTCTAAGCCGCACTCAGTGGATGGGGATAGGAGGGGTCGGAGGCTCGCGGACACGACAAAGCTCGCACACGTCGAGAACCCAAGATTGTGATGAAGGTGCATCTTCATTCCGGTCGTCTACCCGAAGTATGTACTCCACCATCCGTGCCATCTCCTCCTGCTAGTTGTCGTCCTCCGAGGACTGAGCAAAGGGTTCTTCGGCGGGTTCTTCATCGTCCAGCGTGCGAAGCCACGCCAGGTCGTCCTCGGGGATCAGCGCCTCCGGGATGTCCAGGCCAAAGATGTTGAACGTCGGGGGAGCCGATGGGGCCTTCTCGAGGATCCGTGCGTTTACGGCGCTCTGAGAGGCCCACCGTTCGCTGATACATTCCTTATAGATCTTGTGCTTGTGATCCTTGTGTGGCTTTGAGCGGGCGTTCACCGGTGGGCCGCGGAACCTTTCGAGGTACTGCCAGCTATTGACGTGGACGGTGCGCCAATCCTTTGCAGCCTCAATCACCTTCGCCACGTAGGCTGCACGTGCAGCCTTGGTGGCTTGCGAATCTGGGTCCGCAGCATCCAGCTCGGCTGCCCGAGCGATACCGTCGTCGACGTCTTCGCAGTCGCGCACGAAGCGCGCAAACACGGCGAGTACGATGTACAACTTGTTGAGCTGGATTACCATGACACTCATGTATCAGTAGGGCACCCGGCGTACGAACCCTGGAGTTCGGTCACATACCTGAACGGAGCGCCACGTCAAGTCGCGAACCTCCAGCGCCCGCGGACCAACCCCGGCGCTGTTGCGAAATTTGTCGCGCTCTTCATGGGTAGCCTCACCGTCCGAGCTATGCTCTTCGCTCTGCCACGGCGTCAGCACCAACTCCTCCACGCCGGCGGTCTCCTCCTCTCCGAAAGCCATTCGGAACGCCGGGACCCCCACACGGAGTGTGTCGGCCTTCTGTTATGGCTTGTCAGTCAACACGGGATGTTCAACGGGAGCCTTGTACGTACACGATGGCGGCGTGCATGATGCATATCGAGATCCATCTTTCTCTGACGCTTCCGTCCAGCGTCTTCGTTATGATCAGCGACATATTGACGCTTCAGGGTGTCGAAGTATCTGCAGGTGGTTTTTCTGATGAGGTTCTCGGCCTGGACCACCTCCGGCGACAACTTGTGTTCCACTGGAGTAGGATGGGACCCGTGAGTAATGTATTTTATTATCTGACTCGATATATGGACTGACCAGCTTTCGACCGGACGAGGTTAACGGTGGCCGTGATGAGATTGTCATTGACGGGATCGTCTGCGTCGTCAAACCAGTTCGGGTAGTGCAGATCGGTAACCTTATCGACCCCCTTCCTCTTCACTGCACCAACCTCGAGAGGGTCGGGGAGAACGTAGGCTCTCTTTCGGCCGCGACCTCTGCGAGACTTCTTGTCCACGCCCATCAAGAGTCTCAGATCCTTCTGGACTGCAGCCTGTGAGAATGACATGTCAAAAAGCACTGACGTTGGATCGAGCTGACAGCTTACTCTTAGTTCGCTAGGGACCTTTTCGTCGTCGTCGTCGTCCTGCTTAGTACGCTCCTGTTGGACCGCGGCCAGTGCCTCCACGATACCCTTTTGCGTCTCATTTCTAACTATAGCAGTCAGCTCCTCACGGCTCACAGTCACAAGGTCATCAGCGGCGGACGCCGCTTCGAGATGTGCTTGGTGCGGAACGGACGTTACGCGGCCCGAAGCCTGGTGCGTGTCCAGATTCGGATCGATGTTCCCTTCCTGACCACCAGCATGGGTGATAGCAAGGGGCGCGCGGTGGGGTACGAGAGGTTCTGCATCACAGAGTCGTGAGTACGTGTACAACTTCCCAGATCAACAGCGCTCAGGGCACTTACCGGGTCCTTGCATCAGGGTGCCGCCTTCACCACCATTCGGATAGTTCACCGCATGTGGACCCGGAGGCACATAGTAGTGCCCGCCGCCTGGACCACTGGGCGGCCGAGCATGACCTAACCGGCAGAATTGAGTGAGTTGTTCCCATAGCCATCATCAGACGAGAGCATAACTAGTACTGACCGTGTGCAGACCACTGCCCGCCGGGAGCAAACCCTTGCGCGGCCATGAGTGCGGGATTGCTCATGAAGGTGCTGAGCATGCTGAGGAAGGCCGGCGCGTCAAGGCTGCTTGGTGCGGGAAGGCCACTGGGATACATCCCTGGCCCGTGTGCAGGATGTGCCGCTGGCGCCCAGCGACCATGAGGATCAGCGCCGAAGCCGCCGTCGCCACCACCGCCAATAGTTTGCTGTAACGGAGTATCAACGGTGAGATATCTGCACGTCGACCATAGACATGACAGAAGACTCACAGAAGCCCCATTGAACTCTAGGGCATCTCGACCGTGGGCACTCGGTGCGGGTCCCCCAGTGCCGGCACCTGGCGACGTCGTCGAGTCCGGCGGCGGACCACCTGCACGAGATGCGGGGCGCTGCTCCGCCGGTTGACTGTTGGGAGTCGGAGCGTCGGGCATGACTGAATTTGGTGATGACTGGGTAGCGTTGACTAGAATCCTCGCCATCGGCGAGCTGTTGTGGGAGAAGCTCAACGTACCAGACCTGTGCTGACTGAGCTTTTATACCTTTGCAGATCCATCCGATGCCGACTCCCGCCGCCTCGTCGTCGACCGTGCGCTGCTCTCGCTGTCCAGTTAAAGCTCGGAGTTTGCATGTGTCCGCCGTGTCCCGCCGCTTGGAAGCCGGGGCGACAATGAGCACGTTCCTGTGGCCCAGGTAAGTGATCCCCTGTAGTGCTCGGCCACGGCGGCGCTGACCATCTACCGGCTAGCCAAGGACCGAACCCCTGCCAACATATGGCTCAATCCTTTCCAGCACTTCCGCGTCAACACCGTCGAAGAGGCTGCCTCGCTGGCGACACCTTACTGGCTCTCTCGACGCTGGTTCAAGCATTGCAACTCGGCGGCCCGTCGGCCACTCCTCGTTGGGGCGGGCGCAGTCTCCCGCGCGAACCCACGCCGCGTCGGGTAGACAGTTACTTCCTCGATATCGACGCCGCCATCTTGTTCGCCCCCCTGCAGTACTGGGCTGCTGGTAGGTATGCGCCCCGGGAGTCCTCTGTATGGTGGCCAATGGCAGCAGTGCCCGGGCCATGTATGTATCATAGGAGGTACAATGCATTGTATGTATTCCCTGTAATATTCTGTGACGCATTTCATGCGGGCACCCCGTACGCGCGTACGCGCATGCGTCCCGGGCGATGGGTCCGATAAGTAGGCGTCTATTGGTGGAGTGGGCCGCATATCCTGATCTGCGATGGCGGATCGCGTGCGGCATAGTTATACGGGCGATGACACAAATATTCAGCCGCGATGTGGTGCTATATCGGATCGAACGGCATAGAACGCCGCAGCGATCTCACATCGTACGCGCATACGATGTGCGGCGCTGAGGCATCTCGACACATCGCGCCCGCCCGCGATGTGACATCGAGTTTGCGTACTATCTCGAGTCCCACCACATAGCAACCGTGTACGATTCAATATCACAATTACGAACTATTACCTCGGCTATTAGTACGGATATTCGACGCCGCCGTGGATCTCCACCATATGCGATCCTCACATATCCTGCGCGGGAGATGCGCTCGCTATCTATCATACACGGGCCAATCTCTCTCGCATTCTATTTCGTCGTTCACGCGGTGACTGTACCGTAAATTCTTCGCCAGCATTGGGATATTCGTGGTTTTTGGTCCGACGGATGCCAGATCTCTCTTCCCCGAGCGACGTTTTTGTGTGCGAGAGCTGTAAGAGACACAGATAAACACGATAAATCTTCACCGAAGAGGCGTAGAAATAATTGATGTTTTGCACTTGCAAGAGGTCAAGTTGAAGTGGAGAAGCTCGCGCAGATATCGCGAGGCAACAAAAAGCGACCGACTACCACCGACGGGGATCGAACCCGCAACCCCCACCTGACACTTCCTGATATAGGAAGGTGATGCGCTACCATTGCGCCACGATGGCTTGAGGGCGTTTTCAGTATGCAATGCCATAGTGGCGTAGCACATTTGCTGTTCTTTGGTCGCAAACGATGTCCTCCACACCATATATTTACGCACGTCGTGACCTGCAGCACGGATTCGAGTTGGTATTAGTCGCAGTCAACATCTCTCTCGATCCAGAGAAGAGCTCCGGCGATACATCGGAATCCATTTCAGGAGATAACGTAGTGGTACATGCTCGGGCTACGCCGTCTGCGAGAAGGAAGCACTATGAGACACGGGCGGGGACGACGCGAGAGCAAGCCGTACGAGTACATGTACACAGCATGTAGTGTTACATGGGAGAAATATACAGAAGAGCAGTCCTGATACGATCCACAGAAGAGCAATAAGTATCGTGCTGAAGGGTCGTCGAGGGTCATGACTAGTCAAGGAAACAGGAAAGCGAGAGCTGGCAGGTATCAGAGCAAAGCGCGTTGTGAGAGGGAGAGGAAGCAGATGTGTGCGGGAAGTTCGAGGGGAGGATGTCGCGTAGCCTACGCCCATTCGGGCTCGGACCACCACCGCTGCTCCGCGCCGCGCACCCGCCATTCCGCGATGCCCTTCACGCTCGCACCGTATATGAACGTGCCGCTCGGGTCGAAGCACATTCCCGCCAGGTCGAGCTCCTCGTCCGGGCTCTCCTCGCCGCGGCCAGGCTCCCGTGCCTGCCCTGGGGCGCGACGGTGCCGTCTCGAGCCTGACGCGGACCCAGGGCTCCAGCGGGCGCCCGAGGCGTACGGTCCGCTGCTCTCACGACGGGCAAGTAGTGTCGGTCGAGAGCGGAGGAGTTCTAGTGGACGTGGAGAAGACTGAAGCGACATTTGGGATGCTGGCGCGGGTGAGCCGGAACGGGATGGTGCACGCGACGAGAAGCAGTCGCTCTCGAGCTCGTCCACATCCATCTCCTCGCCCTCCCGTGCGCCGTCGCCCCCATCGTCTAGAGGTTCGCGAGGATCCGCTTCGGCGTCGATGAGCGTAGTGCGGGAGCTGTGTCGCCTCCCGAGGAGTCGCCGCACATTACTGTCAACGTCACGGTCGCCCAATGGGGGAATGACGACGATGCTGTCCTGGTCGTCTTCGGTGGGAAGATCGTCGCGACTGCGTAGTCGGCGTATACGTCGTTGAACGCGCCACCCGCTCGTCGTGCTGCTGTCCGACGTCGGTATCCGGAATGTGTCCTCCAGGGCGTTGAAGAGCACCATTCGGCGTGGGTCGGAGGGTAGTGGCTCCGAGGGCGTGGAGGTGCGCATCAATGCCCGCGACACCGGGGATGTCGAACGTGGACGGGCGGATACTGAAGGGTAGTACGCCGGGGAGTCGAAGTTCGGCATCCGCACGATCTCCTCCGTCTCGAATGTGCGCGCGTCAACAACATGCAGCAGCGAGGTGTGCTAATCACCCGAAGCATGCCATGAGCACTCCCGACGCACTCGACGTAAACAACACACGCACCTCGCTGAACGTCATGACTTCGCGGCCCACGCCTGGCGGGCTGAATTTGACGCTTCGCACACCCCACCCTGGCGCGCGCTGACCGCCGCGCGACCAGTCCCATGGCAAGTCGTACAGCCACCCACTCGCCGCCCCTGTCGCCACCCGCCCGGGGATTGGCGCGCGACTCTTATCCGTATGGAAGACCTTGAGCGGTTTGGTACTCCGTACGTCCCATACTACCACCACGCCCTCTTGCGAGGCGACCGCGAACTTTGAGCCGTCCGCGGAGAATGAGGTCGAGAACGAAGCGGGCACGGAAGACACAGGTGCGAACGCGCCGCTGTGCGATTGCTGGATGTACGACGACAGCGAGAGCGTCGCGATGGGTGCGAACGAGATCCGGGATCCGCCCGTGATCCTGTGGAGGTACACGTCCGGCGAGTCCCCGACGCACAAGAGCGTTCGCCCATCGGGCGACACCGAGGCTATCAAACGCGGAGCTGTCAGACTACAGCAGATGGACATAGTGCGCGGAAGGCGACGCACAATGGTTGACAGGCACGGGCAGGTCGAGCCGCCCGATGTCGAGGAGGCGCGGCTCGTAGTCGTCGGTCGCCTTGCCGTTCCGCAACGCGATGTCGTAGAACTTGACGGTGCGGTCGTTGTTGCTGACGAGGATGCGCGGCTCCACCGCGCTCTCGTTCGAGCGCGAGAAGCTCATCGAGGTGAGCATCACCGAGTTGTTGATCGATGCGTGCTCGAGCAGGTACTTGCTCTCCCACAGCCTGCGCCCAAAGCCTCGGGGGGCACTGCGCCCCGGGCGCGTTGAAGAGGAAGGCGAGTATGAGTCGGAGGATTGGTAGTAAGACAGGTGCAGTTCGGCCTCCTGGCCGCCTGCCGCAAGGAGGGTGTCATTGGATTCGGGAAGGATCAGTGCTGAGATGGTGTTGGGAGTGAACGTGAGGTCGACGAGCCGCCGCGGGGTCTGTGCCGCCTCGTGAGCGGACGGCAGCGTAGCGTCGCGGGGACTACGCACCGAGTGAGGGTTCAAGATGTCGTGTTCGACAACAGAGTAGCCGCAGGCGTAGCTGACGATGCCTTTGTCATGTGGGCATATGAGGACGTCGCGCAGTTGCCTGGTATCACAAGCAAGGCGTAAGCTTCACTTCCCGTACGCTGCGCTCGCCTATCCAGGGGTATGGCATGACCGCCACAGCGCAACATAGAGCACAGTAACGTAAGCACTCACACATGGCCTATGGTAGCGTTTGTCGGCGCCACCGTGCACGGGTCGGTGCTCGAGAGCAGGGTAGAGGGGCCGCGCGCCATGGTCTCCTAGTCCGCCTGGGCTTCGTGAGCAGAGTGAAGTCGTCGGGTCGTCGCCGGGCTAGCGGTGGTAAGAGGCGAGGAGATTCTGCGCCGTTGGGCCACCACTCAACGCGGACGCAAGATAAGCTTCGTCGCGGGAACGGCAGCGTGGACTGTGCCCGAGAGGCCGTGTGCGTACGGGCGGATCCTGTGACCCCCGCTGTGCGTGTATTGCGTGCCCGAGCTGATTCTGACGCCGTCAGTTGACGTATCTGTGCGCACAGATGCGGGGGATGTGCGCCCGCGAAGACCGACGGTGGATGGTGGTGGTCGGGAAGAGGGTGGCGGAAGGCGGTCCGCGCCCCCAGACGAGGGACGACGATGGTCGCGGCATCCGGCGGCACCGCGCTGCATCCGCCTAATACGCGCATGCCATGGCCGCATATGCATACAGCCATATAAATGATCCTCGGTATGTACGCGGTACGGCTTTATAGCCTTATGTTCACCGCGAAGAGCGGGCGACTCCACGGTTCAAACGTCGTTGCAAGACGTAAATATAGTGGGTCGCGCGGCCGCAGCGCCCACGCTCGGGCGTGCCGCATTCGAAGGCGTCCGAGGGCGTATATTTGCGAGCATTCGCAGGTCAGCCGGAGTCACCGTACGCGCATTCACATGCGGAGGGGCAGCTTAATTATTGTACCACAGCCTCCGCTTGTGCAGTCACTGTCTAGAGGCGGTACGCAAGCGAGTCCGACGAACGCGGTTGAACGAACATCTCGATATCGAATCCGGTCCAGTCAACCTTGCGGTGAATTAGGGGCTGGTAAACTTTGTATTCTCTTCATACAATAAATAGCGGAACGCTTCCAGTATCTACCAGGGTGCTAGGCTACAATCTTCGTGGGTAGTGCGGAAGAGGGGACGAAGTGCACATGAGGGAAAGAAAATGAGAGAGAATCGATCAGACAAACAAAAACGCAAGTATAGTACGTTACCACGACCGAGCAGCGTCAGTCACAGCCAAAAGGGACGCAGGCACAGGGAAAGGGAAAGAGAAACTTGAAGGAGGGAGGGGGAGGGGGAGGGAAAGCAAGAACTAGGCAGAGCGCGAGATCGACACCGGGTAAGTTAAGAGTACACGCACGGGGGCGGGGGGTTTCTTCTGCTGCTGCAGCGACGGCGCGGGAGGTAGGGTGGGGAGCGGGCAGAAAGCCCGCGCGGCCCACCGGCCTCGCGACCCGACGGCACTGTCTGTCTGTCTGTCTGTAATCATAATGCTGGGACGCGTAGTAGGATAGAGCACGGGCAGGGAACGGAATCGTAGATACACATAGCAACGAGAACCCGCCGGAGGAGCGTCCGCGAGACGTACGTTAGATAGACACCAGGGCCGGACATAGATAGGAGTCGGGGTCGGGAGGTCGGAGGTCGAAGGGCGAAGTCAAGTCGAAGTCGGATGACGGGGGAGCAAATGGGCATGAGGAGACGCGGGCCAAAGGTAGGGAGGGAAGGCATCCTGCGCGTCTGTGTCGTGGAGCGTGAAGTGTGCGGGTAGGGGACGTGGACGTATCCAAGCAGGCCGTCACGGTGAGGCCGCCAGGGCGCAGCTGCGCGGCGCATAGTGCAGCAGACGCGGCTACATCATCATGCCCCCGTTCGACCACGCGCCGTCGGGGTCGGGCTTGACCTCGCCCGACGGCGGCGCCGAGCCCTCCGCGCCGCTGTCCGACGTCGCCGAAGATCCAGCGGTCGGGGGCGCGTCGAGGTGCGCCGTCGACCCGGGCACGAGCTCCTCCTGGACCCGCCGGCATTCCGCGCCGCCTTCGGAGCGCACTGTGCAGCCTGCGATGTCAGCCACCATCGTATGCAGCGAGGGGGAGGAGGGAAGGGGAAGAAGAGAGACACTCACGATGCCGGTTGAGCGCGTCCATCCGCGCAAAGTTCTTCTTGCAGCCCTCGCACGGGTACGGCCGGATGTTGAGGTGCAGCTGCTCGTGCCGCTTGCAATCGTGCTGCCGCGCGAAGCCCTTGCCGCACCCCGGCCACTTGCACTGGTACGGTTTCTCCTCCGCGTGCGAGCGCAGGTGGCCTAGCGGACGCACCCCACACACAAGCAGCACGGAAGGCGCACACAAGAGCAAAACAGAACAAAAAAGCGAATACCAGTCAGCGCCCGCTCTCTACGGACCACCACGACGAGGAAAACCGACGCACCCTTCAAGTTGAAATGCCGCG